CTGGTTTTGGTCCGAAAAGGCTGCGATGCAGCGTTCCTCCTTTATTCCCAATCGAACATGGTTGAACAAGCGGTCACGTGCTCCTGGGTGCCCAAATCACCTGGTCACCGCGCCAGCAGGCGACAACTTTCACACCAAGGTTCAACTCGAGTTCAACTCGAGTGACAGGACTGCACCCAAAAAAGGTCAAACAGGCTAGTAAGTTGTACCCTGCAGGCACGGTGACCAGGTGACTGGTGTACGCAGGAGCACGTGACCGCTTCTTCAACCATGTTCGATTGGGAATAAAGGAGGAACGCTGCATCGCAGCCTTTTCGGACCAAAACCAGTCGACTCAGCGTCCAAAAGACTACAACATATGGGCCAATCGCGGTCATCCGTGCTTTTATAAGAACGAAATGGCGCTTTTAGTGACATTTTGCATACAAATCCCCATCTAGTAGGGCGCAGTCACCCAGTTTCGGTGGAAGTGCGCGAGTTCGATTGGGATTCAAGTAGGAAGGGAGCGTCTCAGCTTCCTCGGACCAAGACCATTCGACTCAGCACCCCGAAGACTACAACTGGTGAAAATTTGATTTTAGGGTATACTTCCCCTTTACTTCCCCTTTAAGTAACATAGTTGCATAACCCTGTAAACCGTGCATCCTTGTTACCCTCACTCCGAGCTGTGAGTACCCAGTTGACCGTGGGTGTCGGCGCATGCGCGCAGTGGACCGTATGCGTGTTAAAACAAAATGGCGTCACGATTTATTGAAAGTGGTATAGTTGGTGGTACGAGTGTTCAAACCCATTTGAACTTCATACTGTTCGTCTTCTTTTTGACATGCTCTCTTTCCATCGTCCTTAGCTTTTGTTTGTTGAGAGCTGTTTTGGCTTTCTCCTATACCTCTGGGGGATGCCAAGTGATAGTTTTGAGAGGCTGATGATGGCTGTGAGCGAGAGTTTGCCGATCGGCGTCGTCCTCGCTATAGCAATGAAAATACTAGTTACTGCGCACCTGGCAGATATCACAACACGTCGGAGCGTCCAGGAGCAAAGGAATCTTGGGTTTTCACTGGAATCTAGTTCCTCCAGCATCGCGAGTGTAGCCCACCGTCGGTGAATGGCGGTCCAGAAAGGTCGAACCTGGTCTTCTGCAGCATCTCGCAGTCCTGCGAGGCACACTGAATACGCCTGTCATGTATTCTACAAATAAAAATCACGAAGTAGTGGACTTTATAGTGATGAGTCTATCCTGTATGCTGCAAAAGACGCAGGAAATGTCACTGGTGTCCGTACACTGGACACCAATATCATCCCAGTCTTCTCCTGCAGGATCTGTTTGACATTGACATACCGGTATGCAGTGGGTCGACATTGGCCTGGTTTGGCAGCTATCTGCCTGGGTGGATGTAGCAGGTTTGCATTGGCGCGTCGTCCAGTCCGACATTTTCTTGTAACTGTGGAGTACCGGCAGGGTTTGAGAGGTTGCTCGTGCTGTGAACACATCTCTACTGCCTGTCTCGTCCTGGAAGTGCCGTCTCGCCGCTTCCTTGCTCTACAGTCACGCCGTTATTTCGCTTTGTTTCGTGGTGCAGCTCAAAACCTGCCCAAACAACTGTGAGCTCGCAACATGGTATGGACAAATTGCGCCACTCATGCTGGTTAACTAAAACCGGGATAGTCGAGTAAGCGAGTTCATTCCCTGGGCCATGGCAAGATCTGTTCAGCGCGGGCTATTCCAACCTCCAAGTGCATAGTCACCGATCGATCCATGCGATGGTGGTTGACCTACAAAGAGCCAAGGTCTACGAGTACAGTCAGACCTCGCATAACCGCACACATCCGTTTTCCACAAAAATATCCGGATAGGCGATGGAACCGGATAATCGAACACACATACTATATGTAAGCATGGCATATGCTGTACATTTGTAACCAACTATTTTCTTCCGGATGGCGAGGGATCCGGATAAACGAGGACCGGATAAGCGAGGTCTGACTGTACTACTATTGGATGCTGTCTACATGCAGTCAACAAAATCAAAGTACCTCAGTATGCCCCAGAATAGGGCATGTGCATCTATAGCATGACACAACAGGGGTTCTGGCGGCACCTGTCAAACAAGCAACAGTCTGTCACTGAAGATAATTATTATGTTCACTGTTTAGACTGAGCACAATCAATGATGCCCAATCAATCTGCCCAATGTGTGTTCTGTTCCACCTAATTAGAACGTCCCATCGCATCAACCCTACTACACGCACATGCCGTCACTCTAGCATGACTTGTGTTATTATTGTTTATTTTGATTCGCACGATAAATAGAGCACAATAAACGTTAACTTGACCGAAGGATAAAGGCGACTGCAGATAGAGGAACACATCGAGGTACAGGTACCGGCATCAATACAGTATCAGAGAGAAACAAACAAACAAAAATGAGAGGTACGCAGAAAAACTCTCGTAAGCCCAAGGGGAAGTGGTTGATGAGGGATGAATGCACTCTCCACGCTCATCTACACTGTTCGTGGAAATGCACACATACATACAATAATATACAACATAGCAATAGCATGCACAGAACCGAACAATTTCATGTTCACACATGCAAGCACAGACCTGAACATTAGTACAGTCAGACCTCGCATAACCGCACACATCCGTTTTCCACAAAAATATCCGGATAGGCGATGGAACCGGATAATCGAACACACATACTATATGTAAGCATGGCATATGCTGTACATTTGTAACCAACTATTTTCTTCCGGATGGCGAGGGATCCGGATAAACGAGGACCGGATAAGCGAGGTCTGACTGTACCAAAAGCCGATACAGACAATATCCCCATACACACAGACGCACACACAACACACACAATGTCCCATGTATGCGCCCGTGGCGAGAAAAGCACGCAAATCTACAAATGCACTGGATGTGAACCCACAGATTTTCTCTTATAGCAACGATAGCGGATCTGATTTTGAATGAAACACACACACACACAATACAATCATTGAATGCCCATCCGCAGATGATGGCAGGTCCTGAAAGAACAGGCAGTGTTCCAGTAATGGGGAACAGAACTTCGAGTGGCGAGTAAGGTATACACACACACACGTGCGTGCGCGGGCACACACTAAAGTATTCAGAAATAGAATCGACATTGTAGTATTCATTGGTTGGGGAATGGAAAGGAAAATAAAACATTGCTGTAGGTTATTGTTGTAAGGACACTGGGAGCACAACAGAAAGGTAAGCAACTTGCTTTGAAGCAAAGAAAGTTATTATTTCACGGATCTCAGAAGGAAGGAACGTTCCAGAATGCTGCACTGGCAACAGGCGGCCTGCATGTGCGCGGCCCCTGCAGTCGGTCCAGCTGCCGGCCTTGCAGTGCTGAAAAGAATGTGCAGTACAGCATGTCACATAGTATCGCAGCCTGGACAAATAGGCGCTGGGAAGTCCTAGTTATGTGCTCACTTACACCACGATGCACCAATCTTCTGAGCTACTTTGGCAACAACTTTGTCCACTTGAGACTCCCATGGGCTGAGCCAGTTGTTGAGGGCTGCACCAAGGTGGACGGCAATGACCGCTGATGGCAAGGCAATCCATGACACACAGTCACTAGGGCATCGTCAACATGGCGCTGAGGCTGGATCGATAAAATCAACCTTTAGGCTGCCGCGGGGTTGACAACGAGGCCGCTGTATCGAAGCTAGTCAGTCAGCCTGGTCACCGCCATTGACGAACCAGTCGCCACCGCCAGCAGTGGCGGTAGGTTGTGACAAGTGTTGTGCAATATTGTCAGCAAATTCAGTACTGAGGATAAGATGAGTGACAAAGGGAAAGTTGTGTTTGATAATATTGAAGTGAACAGGGATGATCACAAACCCTGCGCGTACTCCACCGTGAGTTACAAGAAAATTCCGGACTGGACGACGAGCAAACGCCAACCTGCTACATCCAACCAGGCAGATACTATTACGATAGCTGCCAAGCCAGGTCAATGCCGACCTACTGCATAATGTCAATGTCAAACAGATCCTGCAGGAGAAGACTGGGGTGTTGGCGTCCAGCCTCGAGTCACTGAGTGTACAGACACCAGTCACATTTCCTGTGTCCTTTGCAGCATACAGGCTGAGACTAATCACTGTAGAGTCCACTGCATGAGTTTTATTTGTACAATACATGGCAGGCGTACACGGTGTGCCTCGCAGGACTGCGAGATGCTGCAGAAGACCAGGTTCGACCTTTCTGGACCGCCATTCACCGACGGTGGGCTACACGATGCTGGAGGAACTAGATTCCAGTGAAAACCCAAGATTCCTTTGCTCCTGGACGCTCCGACGTGTTGTGATATCTGCCAGGTGCGCAGTAACTAGTATTTTCATCGCTACAGCGAGGACGACGCCGATCGGCAAACCCTCGCTCACAGCCATCACCAGCCTCTCAAAACCATCACTTGGCATCCCCCAGAGGTACAGGAGAAAGCCAAAACAGCTCACAACAAACAAAAGCTAAGGACGATGGAAAGAGAGCATGTCAAAAAGAAGACGAACAGTATGAAGTTCAAATGGTTTTGAACACTCGTACCACCAACTATACCACTTTCAATAAATCGTGACGCCATTTTGTTTTAACATGAATATCGCGGGTTCACCACGCGTAAAAAGTCTTTACTCACGTAAAAAGTCTTTACACGCTCCCTGCTACCAGCGCGGGTCTCGAACTCGGGACCTCATGATTCGCAGGCAGGCCTGCAAACCAATCGGCCATATGCGTTGGTCATTCTGAATCCCGAATATATTCGGGCTCAGCAGGTTTATCAGCACTCCGTAGATCTACACTGCTGGCAACTGAAATCCGATCCCTTGAGCGGTGCGCTCACATCGCGAAGACCCAACACAGGATCGGTAAAACTACGAAACAGAGACCGCTATAGAAAGTTGACGCACCGCTAAGGCAAGGGGTCGGATTTCAGTTGCCAGTTCTGTACTAGTGTTTGCAGTGCAGTTGTTGAGTTGATAGACCTCTTCTTTCAGAACGACGATCGTTGTTGCATGACTCTCAGGACTTGAACCAGTATTGCACTGTTCTTCCTATTAATATTGTCGTTGTGCGCCTGCCATCCTATTGTCTGGGATGAGCAAGGTTTCGTTGGCCTCCGTTATCATTTGCCTTCTGGAGGTGTGTGAAATGGGAACGGACATGCTCAAAGTCCTCTTCTTTCTCTTTCTCGTTCACCAACTGGTAGTGCGTAGCGATGGGCGCAGGCTCTCCTCGTACACTAGAACTACCGACACTACTAGTATCACACCGGTACCGGCGCCCGCTGTTGTTGTATCGCCTGACGAGCAAGCCAGTGATAGGACAACATGCCAACCCACTAGTAGTTTTACTCACGCTGAGCATCGTCCGACATTACCGACTAGCAAAGCTGCTGCAACGACGTGTGAGCATCAAGGGCATTCACTGCAACTGCCAAGTGCCGTGCACACGTTCGTCTGCCGTCTGAAGGATCGGTACGGCAATGCGAAGGTAAATCTAGGACGGGGCATGTCGAAGCGGCCACATCGCATGCCCCTAGACGATGTATTTGTAAACCTAGTGGTAGTACCCAGTGAAAACTTGGAGTGCTTGAATAATGAGGATGGGTCACTGACTGAAATACACAAGTGCAAACATGTGTTTGCGTCGGCAGCGGGCAAAGCGGAAAGCGTGCAACTTGCAGATGTGTTTGAAGGGGAGGCGACGTCGCAAGAAGAAGGAGATGTTGATAGGACTAGTAACGGTGTTGACGTAAATGAAGGCGAGTCTGTGCGTGTTTTGGCAGCTGCGTGCGGCGGAGCAGGTAAAACAACCATATTCCTACTGAAAGGACCTATGGAATGGGCACGGGGATTGATCTGGAGAAAGTTGGCCATTGTAGGCGCCGCAGCACTTCGCGAAGCCAGCGTTCGTCGCGCTAAGAACATAATTGAACTGTTTAAACTGGAGAGTTTTGGCATATCGGATCATGCTGATCAAAAGGCTATATCTGATTTCATTTATGAGAATGCGCAGCATATTGGTTTGATTTTTGACGGCCTAGATGAAACTAGGTTAGGCGAGTGCAGTGATTTTGTTCAGAACATTATTCGCGGTGAGGAACTGAAAGGCATTAACTTACTACTTACGTCGAGGCATTCATCTGAAGTTGCCAAGCTGTCGTCGGCATGCCCATTCGATCGGAGACTTGAGGTAGTCGGTTTCACCGAGGAGAAGGTTCGCGAGTACGTGCACAAAGTCCTGTCAGCGGAAAAAGCGGAAGCGTTGCTTGAAAGGCTTGGGGATAACCCGCAACTGGAATCGCTCATGCAAACGCCCTTCTTCACTGCGTCCATATGTGAAGTGTTTGACAAACGCGGTGAAATTGCCGAGTCTCTCTCTGGCATCATGCTCTCCCTTGTACTGCATATGATTCAACAGCGAAGCGGTGGATTTCATCGTGACTGGAATTCACTGCCACGCACTGTACAAGAAGATATCTTGGAACTGGGCCATTTTGCACTCATCACACTAGCCCAGAAGAAGATCATTTTCGAAGAGAAGGATTTTGAAGAACACGGCGTGTCTGAAAAGTCTAGGCTACTCGGTCTACTGGTTACATGCGATAGTGGCTCGTCGCTGCCATGTGTGGATCAGTGGCAGTTTAGCCATCTGTCCGTTCAGGAATATCTTGCTGCTCGCTATATCCTGTCCACGTGTCCCACAGCATCAGATATACACTGGCTAGTCAGTCATCTAGGTGCAAACACAGGTCATCTCAGCACCTTTTGGTGTCTGCTTGCATCTGAGCTTTCAGATGAGTCGACTGAAGCCCTTATCCGGTCCATTCTAATCTACGATGAGGACAATGTGGAGGGACACGTGGGAGAGAATGCATCGAAATGCCTTTCCGGGTTTCTGCGTTCCAGTGAGCATGATGTGTTACAGGTGACGGAAGATTTGTGTTCATTCCTTGATGAACCGGCTATGACCAGTCTTGCTGGAGTTCTCTTGCATGACCTTCTTCCAACTACCGTTAATGCAGTGGATGAAGTACAAGCAACCATGTCACAGCGCCTCAGTGCAAGCAACGAGGACTTTGTTCATGCCATGTTACGACTGTGGATACGCAAAGTACCGCGTGCCAGCATCCGAATGCTGAGCAAGGCTCTTGAGTCTATCCACCCGGAACTCGCGCAAAGGCTTCGCTCTTCCGATATGAACCACTTTGATTACCACATTGACATTGAGGAGTGTGTGCCATGGTACGTGAACAGCGACCAACTTCTTCTTGCCTTCCGGGTTTTCACGGAGAGTCGGGCCCCAGGCAGGCAAGCAGATCGAGGGCCATCACCCAGTTTGGAATGCTATTTCGCAAAGCGCCATAATCTCGATTTGACAGGCTGTACACTAACAACACCCGACTGTTATACAGTCGGTATGGTACTAAGAGTACATAGCAGTATGATCGAGAAGTTCGGTATTTACTATTGTTTCATAGGAGACAGTGGTTATCAACAGCTCTCTCTTGGCTTAGCAGAATGTGATCACTTGAAGGTACTCAAAGTCGGTGAGAACTTGTTAACTGATCTACACGCTGCACACCTTGCACATGTCATTCAACGCAACAGCAACTACTTACAGAAGCTGCATCTCGACGGAAACAACTTCTCCAGCGCTGGTGTGGCTGAGCTACACCATGCAATAGGGAATTGTGCTAACCTCCATGTTCTACGGTCTGGTGGTGAGGAATGTGTGGATGTGGTTACCTATATCACCAGCTTTGCTCACATTCTACAGGCCTGTACTCAGTTAGTTAGATTGTACCTCTCCCACTTCAAACTAGGCGATAAAGGTCTCACAGTGCTTGCCCCATACCTGCATAAGCTGCAATTGCGTGTACTAGAGCTGGCTGATGTTGGACTAACAGCAACCAGTGCACCAACAGTCAACACCATCCTTGCTTCTCAGTGTCAATCTCTAGAGTATCTCTATCTTGATGGTAATAACCTAACAGATTCATTTCTTCTGGCCGTTGCTGATACTCTATGTCAGTGTAGGCATGTTACCGTTGTGCGCCTGAACAACACTGGTCTGACATCATCTAGTCTGGCTACACTGGCTACTATAGTACTCAATATGGGTGGTGTTGAGTATCTATACCTACGGGACAATGACTTCAGTCAAGGTGATGCCGCCGCTGCTGCCGATCAGCTCAGAGTAGCACTAGTGGAGAGTAGACACCAGACTAATAGGAGGTGTAACCTGTCCATGCCTGGTTGTCAGTCTGTACACGGGAGAATACAGGCAGTGCTTGATGCCATCAGTTATGAATATCTGCTCGTTGAAATTTGATCGGGACTGAACCCTGGGTCGAGTTTTTGTTCCATCATGCGTACCCATGCTTATGCCGTGTGCCCATGCTTTTGCTGTATACCCATGCTTTTGCTGTATACTAGTAGATCTACCCATGCTTATGCTGTATACCCATGCTTATGCTGTATGCCCATGCTTATGCTGTATACCCATGCTTATGCTGTATACCTATGCTTATGCTGTGTGCTCTACACATGTACATGTTGTACCTATGCTTATGCTGTGTGCACTACACATTCATGTGCTAATCGCATCTGTACATCATACTGCAGTGTAGATATTGAGAAGTAGTAATCTCACACCTGGTGACTGATAAAGAGTATTATTTTCATCACTGCATTTTCTCTACATTATGTCTTGAACACCGTGTGTATAATACTTTCCAACTCTATGTGCTGTATATACTAGATTTGACCCATTTCTTTTCCCAACGACTTGCAACCGGTTGTCACGACATTGCCAGCTTTGTTCACTACCATTTACATACAACCCATACTGTTCAGTTTACGGGTTTTTGGTTTATTACAGTTTTTGTGTTGATGCCAATTTTGGCTTAATTCCAGCTTTTGTGTTGATTTCAGTTTCGTGTTGAACCGAATTTTTGGGTTTTATTCCAGTTTTGGTTTGGTTTGATTCCAGTTTTTTTGTAGATTCCCATCTGTTGTTGGTTTTGATTCCAGTTTTGTTTTTTTCTGATTTGGGTTTTATTCTGGTTTTATTCCAGTTTTCGTTTTTTTTCTAGCTTTTGTTTAATTCTAGTTTTGGTTTGAACGTACCCGTACTGTTGTGTACTGGGAACGTCAGTCGTTAAGAACATTCTTACGAGTTTGTTCCGTCGACAAATATTTCTCTCTTTTGATTACCGGAATTATGTACCTGTGTCGTTTCATGGCGAAACGCGAAACATCGTAAATTGCCGCTCCCCGCACCTGAACCAGGCGTTGTAAACTTGTAGTTATTTGCATATACCTCCCTGGACCGGTCGGCCATGTTGAAGTACCATGTGATTTGTTTTTGAACTTTCAAAACAGTTTAGAAATACGCAACCCTGACTGCCGTCTTCTTCTTTTGCACTTTTACTCTGCTAGCCTGGGCATTTTCCTAATTCCTTCCGTTTTCCAATTCACACTGTGAATAATTTTGAATAATAACACAGTATATGAATACTCATTATGTGCTTGTCCGTGTCAGGGTGGGTTTTTCTATACGTCTGTGTGTTTCGAGGGGGGGGGGGGGGGGAGACTGAGAGAGGGTGTACACGTGTGTGTTGACTGTTGGGGGGGGGGGGGGTGCATAATTATGTGTGTGTGGGGGGGGGGGGGGGGTGCGTGCGTGAAACGAGAGCTGTAGTACTGTGCATGAGCGGGGTGGGTGTGCGTGCGCATCCTGGAATCGTAGCGTCCAGGGAGACGCCACGAGACCAAAGTACCCGAAACGAAATACCTTTCGACTCTGTCCAGTGATGGCATATGCAAGCCGGTATAACTCGGCACTGCCCCCACAGGTGACTGAGATGGCAGCAGTGGAGAAAAGCCGGCGTCGTTATGTGTTAAAGTCACCAGTGTAGTCTCCCTGTGCACTGTGGCTACTTGCGGTTAAACATCAATACAGATGCTTGCAGATACATGTAGGTTGATCTGCATGGGGTGATGGGGGGGGGGGGGGGGGGTGCTGGTTAAGTCGTTTGGGCATGTGTACTTGGAAAAGTGAGAGGGGGGGGGGGGGGTAGGGTCGTGTGGGCATGTGTACTTGGAAAAGTGAGAGGGGGGAGGGAGAGAGAGAGAGAGGTAGCTTACAGGAATGTATTGTCGTGCATGGAATGGGGGAGAGGGTTTGGGGGTTGTTTGCAGCCAGTACTTGCAGATGGTGCTTACAACTATGTGCCCGGAATGGGCGGGGGGGGGGGGGGGTACTTACGGGTTTAGGGTGCACGAGTGCATGAGGGGGGGTTCAAAGTAGTACAATCAAACCTCTTTAGGACGAACTTCAAGGGACCGACGGTATTTGTTCGCAATAACGGGAGTTCTTCTTATCCGTATGTCTTACCCAGTGAATACACAGTGATGAATCCAATAGTGCTTGGAATTCTATTTCTTCTTAATCAAAAGTTTGTCTTATCAGTGTTCTTCTTAACGAGGTTTCTCTGTATCAACCTTCCAAATATATTCACTAAAATGTTTTTGAACTCAACAACCCCATTGCAAGTGACAGATTGTACCCTCCACCCCTACCCCCCCCCCCCCCCCCACATTACCCTTCCTGCGAGCCCCTCCCTACAACCCCCCTCCCCCTACCCCAACCAATGGCGGAGTGCGGAACAGACCAATGGCGGAGTGCGGAACATACCAATGGCGGAGTGCGGAACAGACCAATGGCGGAGTGCGGAACAGACCAATGGCGGAGTGCGGAACAGACCAATGCCGGAGTGCGGAACAGACCAATGGCGGAGTGAGGAACAGAACAATGGCGGAGTGCGGAGCAGACCAATGCTGGGATGTAGCACGTGGATCAACACGTCAAACGAAAATTAGGTGAGAGGTGATAAGCGATGAGTGTTCTTCATGTTGTTTTCACTTCTTCTTCTCCTCCTGCTCCTCCTGCTCCTTCTAATGCTGCTCCTGCTACTGCTTCTACTGCTTCTGCTGCTGCTACTGCTGCTATGGCTGTTACTTCTGCTTTTGCTGCTGCAACTGCTGCTGCTGCTGCTGCTGTTGCTATGGCTGCTGCTGCTGTTGCTGTTGCTGCTGCTGCCACCGCTGCTGCCACCGCTGCTGCCACCGCTGCTGCCCCCGCTGCTGCCACCACTGCTGCCCCCGCTGCTGCCACCGCTGCTGCTGCCGCTGTTGCTGTTGCTGTCACCGCTGTTGCTTTTGCTGCTGCCGTTGCTGTTGCTGCCGCCACCTCTGCTGCTTTTCCTGCTGCTGTGGCTGTTATTGCTGCTGCTGCTGTTGCTTTTGCTGTTGCTGTTGCTTTTGCTGCAGTTACTTCTTCCGTTTGTTGCTGCTGCCACCGCTGTTGCTTTTGCTGTTGCTGTTGCTTTTGCTGCTGTTACTGCTTTCGTTTGTTGCTGCTGCCATCGCTGTTGCTTTTGCTGCTGCTGCTTCTGTTGCTGCTGCTGTTGCTTTCTCTTGGCTGCTGCTTTTGCTGCTGTTGCCATTGCTGTTGCTGCTTTTGCTGCTGCTGTGGTTGCTGTTGCTGCTGCTGTTGTTGTTGTTGCTGCTGTTGCCGCTGCTTTTGCTGCTGCTGCTGCTGCCGCCGCTGTTGCTGCTGCTGTTGCTGCTTCTGTTGCTGTTCTTCTTCTTTTGCTGTTGCTGCTGCTTTTGCTGCTGCTGTGACTGCTGCGGCTGCTACCACCGCTGTTGCTTTTTCTGCTGCTGCTGCTGTTGTTGCTGTTGCTTTTGCTGCTGCTGTTGCTGCTGCTGCTGTTGCTGTTCCTGCTGCCACTACTGCTGCTGCGACTACCGCTGCTGCTGCTGATGCCACCACTGCTGTTTTTGTTGTTGCTGTTGCTGCTGCTGTTGGTGCTGTTTGCGCTGCTTTTGCTGCTGCTGTTGGTGCTGTTGCGGCTGCTGCTGTGGCTGCTGCTGTGGCTGCTGCTGCTGTTTCTGCCGTCACCACCGCTGTTGCTTTTGCTGTTGCTGCTGCTTTTGCTACTGTTACTGCTTCCGTTTGTTGCTGCTGCCATTGCTGTTGCTTTTGCTGCTGCTGCTTCTGTTGCTGCTGCTGCTGTTGCTTTTTCTTGGCTGCTGCTTTTGCTGCTGTTGCCATTGCTGTTGCTGCTTTTGCTGCTGCTGTTTTTGCTGCTGCTGCTTTTGCTGCTGCTGCTTTTGCTGCTGCTGTGGTTGCTGTTGCTGCTCCTGCTGTTGTTGTTGTTGCTGCTGTTGCCGCTGCTTTTACTGCTGCTGCTGCTGCTGCCGCCGCTGTTGCTGCTGCTGCTGTTGTTGCTGTTGCTTTTGCTGTTGCTTTTGCTGCTGCTGTTGCTGCTGCTGCTGTTGCTGTTCCTGCTGCCACTACTGCTGCTGCCACTACCGCTGCTGCTGCTGCCACCACTGCTGTTTTTGTTGTTGCTGTTGCTGCTGCTGTTGGTGCTGTTTGCGCTGCTTTTGCTGCTGCTGTTGGTGCTGTTGCGGCTGCTGCTGTGGCTGCTGCTGTGGCTGCTGCTGTGGCTGCTGCTGCTGCTGTTTCTGCCGTCACCACCGCTGTTGCTTTTGCTGTTGCTGCTGCTTTTGCTGCTGCTGCTGCTGTTGTTGCTTTTGCTGCTGCTGTTGTTGCTACTGTCGCTGCTGTTGCTGCTGTTGCTGCTGTTGCTGGTGCTGTTGTTGCTGCTGTTGTGGTTGCTGTTGCTGCTGCTGTTGCTGTTGCTGCTGCCACTACTCGGCAGCGGCTGCTGCCACTACCGCTGCTGCTTTTACTGCTGCTGCCACCACTGCTGCTTTTGTTGTTGCTGTTGCTGCTGCTGTTGGTGCTGTTGCCGCTGCAGTCGCTGCTGTGGCTGCTGCTGCTGTGGCTACTGCTGTGGCTGCTGGTGCTGCTGCTGTGGCTGCTGGTGCTGGTGCTGTTGCTGCTGCTGCTGTTGCTGCTTTGGCTGCTGTTGCTGCTGTGGCTGCTGCTGCTGTGGCTGCTGCTGCTGTGGCTGCTGGTGCTGCTGCTGCTGGTGTTGGTGCTGTTTCTGCTGCTGCCGTTGCTGCTGTTTCTGCCGTCCCCACCGCTGTTGCTTTTGCTGTTGCTGTTGCGGCTGCTTTTGCTGCTGCTGCTGCTGTTGTTGCTTTTGCTGCTGCTGTTGCTGCTGCTGTTGCTGCTGTTGCTGGTGCTGTTGTTGCTGCTGCTGTTGCTGTTGCTGCTGCCACTACTCGGCAGCGGCTGCTGGCACTACCGCTGCTGCTTTTACTGCTGCTGCCACCACTGCTGCTTTTGTTGTTGCTGTTGTTGCTGCTGTTGCTGTTGCTGCTGTTGCTGCTGTTGCTGCTGTTGCTGCTGTTGCTGCTGCTGCTGTTGCTGCTGCTGTTGCTCCTGCTGCTGTTGCTGCTGTGGCTGCTGTTGCTGCTGTTTTTGCCATTGCTGCTGTTGCTGTTGCTGCTGCTCAGTGTTGCTGTTGCTGCTGTTGCTGCTGCTGCTGGTGCTGTTGCTGCTGTTTCTGCCGTCACCATCGCTGTTGCGCTTTGATACTGCTGTTGCTGCTGTTGTTGCTGCTGCTGCAGTTGCTGCTGCTGCTGCTGCTGCTGTTGCTGTTGCTGCTGCTGCTGTTGCTGCTGCTGCTGCAGTTGCTGCTGCTGCAGTTGCTGCTGCTGCAGTTGCTGCTGCTGTTGCTGCTGTTGCTGTTGCTGCTGTTGCTTCTGCTGTTGCTGTTGCTGCTGTTGCTGCTGCAACGGTTGCAGTTGCTGCTGTTGCAGTTGCTGCTTCTGTTGCCGCTGCCGCCGCGCCCGCTGGCACCGCCGCTGCTTCTGAAGACGTTGCAGCTGCTGTTTTTGCTGCTGCTGTCGCTGTTGCTGCTTCTTCTACAGCCGCTCTTTCCCCTCCTATTGGTACTGCGGCTGTCGTCGACGTCGTTGTTGCCACCATTGTTTGTGTAGTAGTTGTTTTCAGGTCTTCTGTACTTGCACATGCATTGAAACACAGCCGGCCCACTATTGGGGAAATGCTGCTGCTCAGCGGCTGCCGCCTCCTTTGAATATGCTGCTGCCTCCACTGGGCTGTAGTGCAGGTGTTGCGGCTGCAGCCACCCCTAATGCTCAGTGTTGCTGCTGCTGCTGCCATTGCAGGCAATTGTTCACGTAGACGTCGTTGGTGGTATGGAGCATAGTGTACCAGTTTATGCTGTGTATGCCGCAATGCATTACAGCTGCGTATTGCCTCTAGTAAGAGAGCCGGGAACAAGTCCAGTCCGCTAATTGCTTACGTCAACATCATTTCTGTGTCAGCATCAGCAATGCCCATGCATCACATCATCCTCTGCATGTTGTATTATGATGTAATGCATTACGTAGCCATGCAAGAGCATGCGCGAGATACGCATCTCGCAGCTGCCTACTTTCATGCAGCATCCTTTAGATGTCGTGGTTCTTATGATTTGCCTACAATGGCCAAGTGAGAATATAATCCTATCGTAAACAACTACGTAACTTGTTTACCCCGAAACATGGTGTCAGAAGTAAACTAAATAAACGCCCTAGAATTGTCGCAGTAGCGCCACCGGTGCAAGAGGTAAAATGGCAGAAGCAGCCGGATTTACCCCGCCGTCGATGGATTGGCAAGCCGCAGATTTACCTGATGAATTCGAGCGGTTCCAACAATACTGCCTTCTAGTTTTCCAAGGGCCCTTTTCCGACAAGTCCGACAAGGAAAAGGTCGCCTATGTCATGCTATGGATCGGGAGAACTGGTGTTGATGCTTTCAATAGTTTCGAGTGGGATAATGCAAGCGACAAATCCAAAGTAGCTGCCGTCTTCAAGAAATTTAACAAGCATTTGCAGCCACGGGTAAATGCACGACTGGCTCGGTTTGAGCTTCAGAAATACCGCCAGCAACCCGACGAGTCTGTAGATGATTTCTTTGCGAGGTGTAAGAAGAAGACGTCCAAGTGCAAGTTCAGGGACGCTCAGGAGACTAACGATCGCCTGATAGAACAGCTAATCGTGGGGACGAAGCACTCGAAAGTGCAAGAACGCCTGCTGGAGGGTGGTAGTGATTTGACTCTGGACGAAGCGCTTGACAAGGCCCGTACTTATGAAGCAACACAGCGCCACATGGAGCAGCTGTCCACTGCCACCAGCAGCAGCCGTCTACCTGAAACGGTTCACGCCATTTCCAAATCTGTGGGACACGCAGACTGCGGCAAATGTGGACGAACCCACCACCCAAGCAAGTGCCCAGCGCACGGCTCCACCTGCAACAAATGCGGGAAGGCGAATCACTGGGCAAACGTATGCCGTTCGCAGGGGAGAGACGAGGCACATGGAAGGGGCCAGCAACGCGGACGCTGGCGCCAGAGGAGCCCCAGCCCGCGGGAGCGCTACCCCCAGAGGAGCCCCAGCCCACGGAGACGCTTCGACGCACTGCATTTCGACGCCGTCATCATCGACAGCGTCGAGCGTCACCAACCGCCACTAGAGCGAGAGGTGTTCGCGACCCTCAATGTCAGCCTGGACAACACCAACAGACCGGCCACCTTGAGAGCCAAGGTGGATACGGGCGCCCAGGGCAATATATTGCCGCTGAGAGTGTTCTGCCAAATGTTTCCCCAGCACGTCGGACCAAACGGATACCCAAAGCCGAAGTCCGTGAAGCCGTCAAGTACCACCCTCACAGCGTACGGCGGATCCAAGATAAAGCAATGCGGAACCCGTCCTATTCCGTGCTCTTACGATGGCAAGAGTCAACTCGCTGACTTCTACATCACGGACTGCCCTGGCACTGCTATCATCGGCCTCCCGACAGCGACAGCCCTGCAGTTAGTCACGCTGAACTGCGCTGTCCAGGAGAAGCCAGCGAGCATCCGAGACAAGGACGACCTGATGAAGCAATACCCGAAGTG